GATATAAATCAGACATTTTTTAGCCGGGCATTTTTTTGGTTGGTATGGACCAAAATGGTAATTAGTCACATTTGCAGCAACTTTGTTCATTTACTGTAGTACATCGCATAGTCTTGCTGTTGATATCTCAAGGGGAATAAGAGGTGGGCTTTAAGTGGACAGTTTTTTTATAAGCACTGTCATGAACACATAAATGAATGTGTACATTTTGAGCACTTTGCATTTCTTGTGGCCACAACATGTGTTTAGCCACCTGAAAATGAAATGCTGTGCTAGGGTTGGTTTCAGAACAGAAAAAACGCTGGAACTGGAGCATGGGGAAGCAGGAACAAAGCACACTTCTGCTATCTTCCTCCTGTGTAATACTGGTCCTGCTGGAAGCTGTGAGGCTGAGACAAGAGTTAAGAGAGTGTCTTATTTCAGTTGTTAGAAGGAATACCAGTAGACATACTTACAGCAGGATGCACGTCAGTGGCATAAAGAGCAGAAACAAAGTGCACGAATCTTTATTTTAAACTCTGTTTTGGCATCCTTTCTCTGTCAGTACTACCTAAAGCTAAGTAACAATAATATTTTGTGCTCTGACGGAGTAATTAATCTCCTTTTTGCCCTTGGTTGAAAACCAAGAGGTTGATTTCGTATAAAATACTTTAAAGAAAGCAGTGAGTGTTCTGTCTTTGAAATTTCTACGAGTGCGTGTTAACACAGGCTGCTGCGGAGGAAGTGCTTAGGGAAAAATTATTCGTCTGGGATTTTGGGCTCAGTTAAGAACTTGTCAGTGCTGCTTTTACATATGTGCTTAGTTCAGAAGTGCTGTGTTTTCCTGACTGTGTTTCGGGATGTGAAAAAAAACTCTTCATAGTGTCCTGGTCACTTGCTGCATTTATCAGTAAACTGCTGTACCTTGCTGTCCCTTTTTTTTACTGGCTGGAATCGCACAGGAGGAAATGTTCCTGTGTGAAGAGCCTGCAGGATATTGCCAAGGAAGAAACACAGAACCAGTTGTAGGAATCCTGAGTCTCCTTGCTAACACTACACACGGTTCTTGAAGCATACAGAGCAGATGAGAAATTTGTGTGCTCCCTTAAGTATGTAACTTAATAAAGCAGTTGTTAGGAAGTTCTGTCTCTGAGCTTTCTCAGGTTTGACATGCTTTCTGCTAGTGTGTTTGTATGGTGTGATGAAGGTAGAAAGGCAGCTGTGCTCTACTTACTTCTCTCACAACCCTTTAATAATGCATTCGTATGTGGACATAACACTGGCTTATGGCACATTAACCAACCTTTTTGCTGCTTGGTCTGCGGTGGTTGTGCTTTTGATTGAAAACTGCTGCCAAGTCACCGTGTCAGCTGAAATGAAAAATTTGGTGTATGAAATGTCTGATCGCTCTGCTTAAACTCATCTTTCTCTGAAGTTGTATCTCATGTTTACATTAGTATTTACCTCAGCATCCTTCATATGAAATAGTGTTCCGCATAATGCTGTATCCCTAGCAACAAGAAATCATTTTCTTCCATGCAGCTAAGACTAGGAATAAGATATATGCAGCTTGAAGCACTTATTGATCAGTCCACTTCTGAAAACTGCACATAAACTTTATGAGCAGAGCAGCAGTACAAATATTGCTACATGCTTTAGAAAAGAGAAATTTGAACACATTTATTTGGTGCTTATGGAGTCAAAACCTATGGCTCAAAAAGTGCTATTATGCGAGTCTTTCATAATGCTGTGATATTGTAGAGAAATGCTTTAATGTTCTCTTGCAAACTATTGTTTGGAAAAAAAAAAACCCAAAAAACAAGATTTTACAAGCTTTATCCTAGATCTGGTGACCATTTACAGTTTGGCTGATTGGTCTTACTAGATATCTGGGGAGAATTAAAGCTGTCTTTCCTGTAATAATGAGGCAAGCTTCCACCTCTTGATTACTCATTGGAATAATTTAAAGGGCGTAAATAAAATTTTCCAGACTTAATTGAGAAAATACGTATTATGCCATTCTCTTCCCATGTGCTTAGGGTGAACAGATTTTCTTTTTGGTTACAAACAAGCAGAATAAGACACTCATGGAGACATATGCTGAAAAATTGCAAGATAAATAGAGCGTGCATCCTGCTTTACCTCTGCTTCTAATAGCAAGAATGCGGAGGGATTTTTGCTAAGCACTTCCTAAAAGCTGCTGAAAAGTTTCTTTTATGATTGCCAAGGAATTTTCAAGTTAATCCTGGGAAGAGGTGTAAGTCTCCTAGCAAGCATCTCTCTTCTGCCAGTGGGGATTACTGAGATTCCTCTGAGCTTCACCCTCCCAGCAGGCTGTTTGTGTGAGGGTAAGCATTTCTGGGGAGCGAGTGTAGGGAGTTAGGCCAGCTGTATTTCTTGCTCACTGTTTTGACTCAACTAATGCAAGTAAGTGTAATCCTAAGGAATGAGATGTTCAAGAAACAAAGCATCTACACAAGCATCTTTTCCTGCTTATATTCTCCTGGTAAGCAATGGTTTAGAAACTTACTGAGCCAGAAGCTGTGCCAGAGTCACTCTTCGATAGCTGTGGATCCTAAATGAATTTATCTAATTCTGCTTCTGAATGCCTTGAAGTGTTCAGTTTCTACAGCATCCTGTGACGGAACTCATGATTCCATCCTGAACGTTTTCTTCTCCTGATGTCTGTTGTTCCTCTTTCATCAGCTGCTCAAAAGGCAACTGGACAGAGATTTCCATTTTGTAGTATGAAGAGGACAGAGCAGCATATATTTCTTTGAGTCCTCTCAAGAGAATGTTTTCTGGTTTTTGTTAACAGGCTTGCCAGGGGCTTGACAGTATCAGTTTTTTTAGGTGCTCCAGCTTAGCATAGTGCAGTCTCATCTCACTTTACAGTTGAGTGATGAGATCAGTCTGGCTGGAGACCCAAGGAGGCTACAAGTTACCATTTGCAACTCATGAAGTAATGCCTTACCCTTGTAAGCTTCAACATCTGGTGAATGATAAGGACACTTGACTGGATTACATTTAATACAGCTAGTGGATCTGAGCCAGTCTAGCAGCTGATGTTTATGGCTATTAAGTTACATATATATAGGCACTGATCAAATTCTTTCTGGTTTTCCTTGTTTGCTGTGTTCAAAAGTATTTTCAGCTACTCACAAAACAGTGTTTTGTATCTCTAGAAATAAAAATTCACAATTTCCAAGTCCAGTTTTTCTTTTCCCCCCCACTCCTATTCCTTAGTCCTTGGTGCTTTTGGCTGCGTAAGAAAGAATGAAAGGAGCCTGTTACTGCAAAATAACTGTGTTAGCCTGAAAGTGATTTGAAAACTTGTGCAGCTTTATCTCACCAAGTTTCAAATAATCACTCAGTCAGAAGGATTACATATTTCTGGCAAGCTGTCCAACCATAAGGTATTCTTGGTACAGGTAAAATAACCTTTTCTTGCTTATGTGGTTTGTCACAGGAGGCTATACTTTCAAATCCATCTCTTATGTGTTATAGACAATTAAGGCTGTTGAAATAGCAGACTTTCTTGACCAGCAGTTCTGTTTTTCTACTCAAGAAATTTTTCCATTTATCATGTGTTTAATATAGCCAAGCTTGTGACAGTTTCCTGTGAGGAATGCTGGCTTATAGTACTCCTTAAATTCGGAAGCATGACTCTTCAAATCAAAAAAGGAGAGTAGCATAGATGTGCTTCTGGGTGAGCTGGCAGTGTCTTCTTTGCTCGGCAGGCAGTGTACATTTGCAGAGTATCTCATATGTGAGAGGTATTTGGGAACTTCAGGGTATTACAATGAGTATAATCCCTTTTGAATTATCCTTTATAGAAATTCTTGGTGTGTGGAGGCTGAAATTGCCATCTAAGTGTATATAAGTGGGAGCCTTGCTTTGAAGTTGTTGAAATCACTTCTGGGAAAGAAGTTGATACTTGCACTTCCTCCCACTTCTAGACAAAGAAAAACACTTCTGTCCTGTTTTGCAAAAGAAAAAAATCATTAGGATACTTGACTGTTTATGCAGATATTAAGAGAAAATGTGCTACATGCCAAAATAAGTCTGTGCACCTCACTGTGTGGAAACCACAAGAAAATACGAGTTTGATGTTTGAGCAATATTCTGTTACGTGTCCTGAAATTAGAGTGTGTATAACTTTATTTATAGCCAGTACGTAAGTTTTAAAACCAAGGATTAAAGTTGGACAGGTGAATGTTTAGAAACGTGCTTGGACACCCAGAATACATTTGTTTTAAGCATTCTGTATGACGGTACTGTATCATGTCAAATATACAGTGGTGATGTCAGGAGATGGAGTCTGCCTTTTCTGCTTGTTTCAGAGATTCTTAATGTGGGTTTTGTATGGAAATCCAGTAGTGTTGAGAGGGGAATGATGCACTTGAATTATTCAGTGCAATAGAAAATACAAGGATGTACAAAACCCTAAAAGCTGTTTCCTTTTCCGTTGTTTGGGAAGATAAACTTTTTCGAGTGTGCTTGGTGGAGGAAGGGCATTTTTTTGTGTCATTTAACAGTTTTCTGTGTTTGTGGGTAACATTGCTTTAACTGATAGTGTAAGTGTGTTGAGGGCTTTCTTTTAACCCTTTTCTCTTAATGTGTGTCATCTGTAAGAGGTTTGACAACAGTTGTTCTCACAGGTGATGGATAATGCAATGAGAAAATAATTTTTTACTTGACAGACTACCCCCAAACCAAACTTCACAGTCAAGTTCAAGAAGTCTTACTTGCATGATGCTGAGAAAGTGATGTTTGTTGTGTCTACTGTTTCTGCATGAAATATCACTGTGCAGTATGCGGAGTCCTCCAGTTCTAGTGGTTGAGTTGTAAAATAAAGAAAACACAACTATTCATGTTTTAAAACTCTTAGGAAGCCCCCAAAGTCGTGATAAAATTGATTATCCAATACAGGGGTTGAGGTAATATGTATGTTTACAAGTAAATTAATCTTTAAATTTGTAGTTTCTAATCTGATATTTTTCTTTTCTTTTTCTCTTTAGTTCCTTGGCATAGCATTTCTTGGGATTGGATTGTGGGCATGGAATGAAAAGGTAAGTTGAATATAGCACCAAACATTTTTCTTTCTGATGAAATATTGGAATAGCAGTATGCTGCACATTAGTGTGTCCACACAGTTTCTTCTGAAACAAAATCAAGCTTCTCTGTCAAAAAAAGAAAACACAACCTTGGCTAGGTTCTCCTAGGGGAAGATCTGAGGCATTTTTCCCAAGAATACTTTGGCAAGGAATCATGGCTGACACTTGCACATAAAATAACCATTTCAATCCGTACATGCTCAAACAGCAGCACAGATAATAGAATGCTCTACTGCAGGCAGTGTTGGCAGTGTGTCCCTAGGAATGAGAGGTAGCGTATGTGTCTCAGAAGGCAACTTCTTGAAAGTGAGCCTTCTCAGCTTTGTCTGTGCGTAGCGTGCTTCTTGCTGCTTCTCTTAAGGAAACCAAATGAAATCTGAGGCAAAGAAGATAAATTTTAGTTTTTTTTCTTATGCAGAATATAAGTTTGTACACTGGAAATCTTTCTGTTTTGAGACTGTAAAGTCAATTGGGAAATAAGAATAAAGGAAGGAAAAGGTGGAGAGAGAGAATTCACTTGTGAACCAAAGCCTGATTTTTAGTTTGCTCACTACAGAAGTAAGAAAGAAGATAAAGTATCAAAGCATAACATACAAAAGAAGTCAGTATGTATTGGGTTACTGAAATACAACTGCTAAAATTAAAGCCAGAATTTCCTTGTTTGTTTAAAAATGAAGAAAAAAAAACCAACAACAAACCAAAATCCAACCCTGGATGATAACATTGGTGCTATGATATAGTTAAGTGATGTTTTTCTTTTTTGATTGAAAACACTAAGTTAGTGTTTTAAGCTAATATTTACTTCAGGCATAATAACTGGCACTTGCAGCAGAGAAAAACCACATTGGAAACACTGGAGTTTTGCCACTTAAATTTAGGACAAATTTTGCTGATTTGGAAGTGAGTTATTGACTTAAATGCTAATTGCTCTATGCAAAAACTAGCTCTCAGCTTGTAATAGAGTGTTAACTATCTCACACCATATACATGTTTGTACGTAAAAGCCTGTATTTAAGTGTGTTACCCATATATTTACCTACCATATGATGCTCATGTTGGAAACCTTGAATAGGTTTGGAAAGTGGTGCTGTCATTCAGCAGAAATGTACAAACATGTTTAACTGAGTTATCTGAGCATACTCATGGAGCTTATGATGCCTGTGTCTAAGCCTCAGAGAAGTAATATATTTCACAGTAGCTTACCAGAAAAGTTCTGAACATTTTTTTTGTATAATTACTGTGGTAATACAGATTATTCCTATTTGGAATAAATGAGCAGGTAAAGGGAAAAGAGCTTTTATAGTTTCTGAAATCTGAAATACGCTGCCCCTGCAGCCAGAGGTTGTTCTAACAGAAAGGTTGCTGGTTTTTGGTTTTTTTTTTTTTTTTTTTTTTTTTTTTTATTATTGTCTGTATGTGAAACCACCCCCACCTTTCGATTCATAATAGTAAATATCATAAAAAAATCATATTTTTACTCAAGGTCTATATATCTATTGTCATGTCATGTTAAGCATTTCCTGGGGACAGAAAATGGCCAGGACTTGACTTAGGATCAAGTGCCAGGTAATTGTAGTGCCCATGCAACTGGAGGGGTGGATCAGCTACATCCCATACAGAGTTGTTCTTGCTGCAGCTTGCAATCTGGAGCTGACAAATGAGCAGGTGAAGCCAAACACTTGGGAGATCTGTAACTTGATTGATGTGGCTGATGTGCATATCAGTTTGCATCATGGTCTGTTGTAATGCAACACTGCAAGACAGGAAAGCAGCTCTGCAGAAAAGGACCTGTGGACTGCAGATTGAACAGAAGCCAGCTGCATGCCTGTGCTGCAGAGGCAGTTCTAGCCAATGATGTTCTGGACTGCATTGGGCAAAGGGTTGCCAGCAAGTGGAGGGATGGGATCCTTTCCCTTTGGTCAGCACTGGTGAGGCTTCAGCTGGAGTGTTGGGTTGAGTTGTGGGCCCCTCAGTAAGCAAGAGATGTGGACATATTAGTAAGTGCCCAACAAAGGGCCATGAAGATAAGGAACCTTTCCTACAAGGAAAGGTTGAGTGAGCTGGGCCTGTTCAGACTTGAGAAGGCTCAGGTGATGGGGAATCTGTCTCCCAGAAGGTGTTGGGAGAAAAATGGAGCCATGCTCTTGTCAGTGGTGCTCTATACCAGGGCCTCAACTCTTTCAACTGTTTTTTTGTTTGAACGTTCTGTTATGCTGTGAAGACTGCTGCTGTCCCAAAGATTTAGTTCATTGACAGTACTGAACTTAATAGTACTATTGTATAATATGTAAACATAAACTTACCATGTTTTTGCCAGATTAGGTCTTCAGAAGGATTTACATCTAGCTTTGTTGTTCTTTGTCCTGGTTGTTGACTTGTATGTAGTTCTGCTGCATCACAGAAAAATAGTGTACAAAGCCATGTTAAAAATACAGGATATAATGAAGTAATCCACATTTTATAGGAAGCCTGTTTGCTGCCAGGTGAGACTGTGATAGATTAGTTGATTTAGTGGCTGGTTTCTCTTTTTTGCTAGATTGGTTTGAATTCTCTTTAGACTTTAAACTGAAGAGGAAAAAAAGAAAGTAAAGAAAAAAGCACACAGTCTCATGACCTTCCTTTGCAGGGAGGCAAAAGAGCTCATTTGTCAACCAGGCAGTAGAATTGGCTTGACAGCCAGCCAGCCAGGCCTGAACAAAATCTGAGCAATTAGCATTCTGAATCGTGGACTCAGAAAGAGAACTGGAGGTGGGGGCAATAAACTTGAGGGATGAATAAAGCTTTCTATACCATAGATGCACTATATAGCTCACAATCTCTCAGTGTTTTCAGGCTCACTAGACTTGGTATAGTACTGTTTGAGGAAAAAAAAGTTCATCCACTGAGCAGCTGACACCCACCTCTTCCTCCTCCTCCTGGCTTGTTAGCATATAAAAAGGCTACTCTAAGTCCAAGCAACTTACAGTGTTTGCTCAGCAGCAGGAAAAAATACACGGTCGTTATATTTCACTAATTTTTTAGACCACTTCAAGCAATCTTTTCTGTTGCCTTTTACAAACAAATTCACCCTGTACAAAATGTGTACTTCCCTCCTTGGTTGTGAATATTAAATAATGTGGTCTTAAGGCTCATTGAGAGTGTTCATGGTATGATGCCAGTAGGTACTTAGGAAAACAAACTTTGTGGTTCTCTCACTACCTGCAGGAGATTTACATGTAAGTGCAGTGAGAATGAATGATGAATTGCTTTTATGTTCTCAGAGGCTTTTGGGGACTGTAGAGTGGGAGCTTTTAGGAAGCAAGTACTTAGGTTTTGGAATCTGCATTAGGTAATAGGTATAGGTTGTAAAAGCAGAGATTCTAAAATGGAAATGGAAAAAAATGTTTAGATACTCACAAAATTTGTTGATCAGCCTTAATTTACTTCCAAGGTTGACTGAAATGAAGTGGGAGAAGTGGAAAAGGCTGGTTGCACGCATAAGTTTAGCTTCAAAGTTTTTCTTATTAAATCAGCATAACTAGAAGATATTCCAGCTCAGAAGCCAACTTCCACATTTTGGAATAACAATATGGTATGTCTGTGTGCCTGCACAGTGCTGTTTGTGTGTAGGAGCTCTTGGTCTGGATCTCAAGTTTTAAACTTGACTTTTTCATGTCAATTAGATCTCGCTGGTACATTTAAGTTTAGATTTCAGTACATACAGATTCATTTTCTAAAGATGTTTTAAAATAATTTTTAGAAGTGTTCCAACACCCTGTAACCATTAATCCTGAAAAATGGAAAAAACTGTTTTTATGTGTATTTCTAACAGTTATTCATGTGTTGAACTCTACTTTGCTGCAGTAAGGAAGTTAGGCTAGTCTACTTCACTAGAACCTTGGAAATGAAAGATTTCCTGCTATTACTGTTTGCTGTGGGAAATACAAAACCAACAAAAATCAAGGAGGTGAGTTCTGTAAACACTGCTCATCCAGTTTCTGAACTGCAGAGACTAAATGCTGGAGTGGAATTAATTGGGCATATTTCGATGACCAATGTTCTGTTCTTCATGCTTGCTCAGATGCATAGCGTGGAGAAACTGCAAAAAGCTTGTGGAAGTAGATTTTTTTTTCCATTTTAAAATAATACATTTGGAAATCACTTCTGTGTGTTTCTGTTTGCCAGCATTTCTAAGTCCTGGAGACAGGCTTGTGGAAAGGTTAATTCTTAGGCTGCAGAGAAGAAATGTGTCTGAAGGTCTTGTATTGCTGAACTTTTTTTCTGACCACTTTCTTCTTCATCCTGGAAATGTGCTTCTGCAGCAGAAATGTTTAGTGGCTTTTTTCCTTAAATATTTTATCTTAAATATTTTTGTGCATTTCCTCTTGAGTTCTCCCATCCTACTTGTGTTGATTTCTTCTTTTTGTGGCCCACTGGGATATTGTTTGTCATGGGGACTGCTGAGTGTGCTGCTGTTTTCTTCAGGCTAATTCTAGGTGATCCCATGGACTGAATGTCTCCTACTGTCTGAGCACAAGTTGTATATTATGGAGCCATGTCTTCATTTGTCAGTATTCTATTTTCTGTGGTCTGAGACTTTCATATGGACTGAAGCATGGCTTATGGGGAGTCCTTTTACATGAACTGAGATGCAAATATAGATAATATAGATATGTATCAAATATCAAAGGTTAGAGCAGGAGTTAGAGGTCTGGCTTTGGGAAGTGGTGTAAGTGGTCCTAGTAATCTCTGTATAGGATGGAGAAATCCTTGTGGAAGTAAATGTTGCTTCCTTCATCTTTTTTGATTGGATAAAAGCAAGCAACAGTACAGCTATAATACTGGGAGAGGCCTTATCAAGAAATTGTCTTCAAGATCAGTATTTTTCCTTTGCCTTGAGCTATGCATGAAATCTAGCGTGTAGGGTGCACAGCTCTGGCCATTTTTTTTTTTTTTTTTTTTTTTTTTTTTTAGGAGCTTCTCATGGGCCTGGTTTGGTGATCTGGTATTTGTTGGTGTGGCAGAAGTCACTGCCAATGCTTCTCCACCACTCCTTCATTGGAGAAAGGAACAGATCCTGCTGTTTCACTTGACTTATCTCATGAATGTGGGGTGGTTTAGAAATATGTCAGTCTTTCCAGTTGTATGGCTGTGTCATTCTATCCTAGTGGCCAAAATCAGATACACTTCACAAATAAAGCAACTTTTTTGTAACCACCATTATTGATTGTAGTTCATTTATGGATGGTTTTGCTTCTTTATAACTGTGAACAAAAAGTGACTTGCAGGGGATGAAAAGATTAAGAACCTCAACATTCAAATGTACAGCAGGCAGTTGAGGGTGGGGGAACAGAGCAAGCAGATGAGCTGGAGCTCATCCAGACAGCACTGCTGGCTCTCCTTGTGGGACTGCAGTAGAGCCCCTGGATTGGTGCCACTGGGAGAAGAAGAGTATTAGCATGTGTGGCTCTGCACAAAGCGTTTACTGTCAAGTAAAGATTAGGCATATGTCTGAACTACCAAAGAAGTGCTGTGTGTGCACCCCAGAAACATTACCATACTTCTGAAGTGTGAATATAGATTTAAGAAAAAAAGAAGTTTTTCTTCCTGTTAAATGCCAGAATATTGATAGTACTTGCAACTGTGTTGTGGTAAAGATTGGACTTCTGCAGTAGTGTTGCTGAGAAAAATTTCTTTTCATTTGGAGAGAGCCCATCTTTAAAAGATTTACAGTGATGTGTTTAGGCTTTTCAGCCCTTGAAGAGATGAGCTGGTGAACAATCGCCACACGCACCTCAGGTAGCCCTGAGGATTCAGAGTGTCGCTGGAATAAGCAGTGTTATCTTGCAGGATTCCTCTTCCTCTGCTCAGTCAGCTCCATACACATTTCTTTCTGCTTTTGGCTGAAGATGGGATGAAGACAGAATTGGCAATTGTGAGACTTATGTGTGTTCCCCAGAATAAAGCACTATCTCTGTGCATCTCTAGGTGTAAGCACACAACGTTGTCTGTGTTTGTCATTCCTCTTGCTAGCAATGGTTTTATTGCCAAAGCCACTCACAAGACTGCTTATTCTGACGTGTCTCCAGAATACTGATGTTAGGATTCGTATGCAGACAGCACACAAAGCAAATGAGAATTACACAGTATGCTTTGTGCTGTCAGGATGTATTACTTGGAGTTTACCCAGGCTTGGTTTATGATTGTCATATGTGGACTAGCAAAAGATGCATATAAAGGTGCTCTCCAAGGGTAGCGAACAATGGCAGATAAAGCCTGTATTGTTTTACTTCAGTACATGTCAGATCACAGCTGTACTGAGCAATCAGAATCTGGAGGAGAACTCTGCTTAGATGTGAGTGACTTTTGCTGAGTGACAAGCCAGCTTGTGGCCAGTGCTAAAATCAAGTAAATTGGGAAATGGCATGATCAGGAAGGGAATAGAAATACAACCAATTTGCTGAATTTTGTTGTCATTAGGTGTAATGAAAGTATGAAGTTGTGTATTTCTTCTTATTAACACTTATTTGTATAAAGACTAGCTTCTCAAAGAGCAGGGTCTAGAGGTGTTAACTGAATTACACTTGGATTTTGTCTTTGATTTGAATTTTACTACTTTCAAAAGGAAAATAACTTGATTAGACTGTTTTTTTCTTTTCTTTCAAAAGTAAGACCAAACTGTCTTACGAAGAGAGACTTAAATGACCATTTATCCTTCTGGATTTTTTTTTTTTTTGGAAGGAAAATAATTGCAGTAGGGAATGTCCTTTTTCCAATGATTGTTTTTATCCTTTGCTATAGTGCATTAATGAAAAAATATGAGCTAATATTCAAAGAAATTAGGAGTAGTTTTTGCTTAAGGCGTAACTTGTTCTCATGGGGGAAAACATAGAAAGGATTTCCAAACATGATTGGAAGTCATTACGGCAGACCTTTTCCTTGAGGTAGAGCTTGTGTTTCCTGACTTGTGTACGTCCAAAGCAGTGCCTTTTTCAGAGGTTTGTGTGTTAGGTTATGCTGCTTATTGTTATTCTTAGCCAGAAAGTTGTATCCTTCGATTTCTTTTTTCATGGCTCATGTAATCAAGAAACAGTGGTGGAAAACTTCTGTACAAATCGATTTAAGTGTTCAATTCAGTCTGACTTGTACCATCTCATCACTGATTACTTAGAAAAGGAGGCATACCAACTGGTCTGGTTTGACAGCAATACTGGTTCTGAGCAGCATTGTGTTATATTATGCATCACATCTATTCTTGCCTTTGTAATGAATGACAATGTCTAGTACTGTATGTGCTGTAGGAGGAAAGCAGTGAATATATTTTTTTCATCCCTCTGTTGGGGGGATTGCCTTCTCTAGTAGGAGGAAAATCTAGTCTGAGAATGTTAACTCATTCTTGTTCATTATTTGTAAGTTAGAGTTAGATGGCATTCTGTTTTTTGTTGTTTTCTTATGTTTTCTGGTCTCTTCCAAGGCTCCTCGCTGTGTGCATTGGAGAATTCAGGCACCTATTTTATCCAGTCTGTCATTCAGAAATAAAAAGTATTACGGACTGTCTTCATTTCCAGTTTATTCAGTGTCAGTTTTGTGTGGAGGAAATAATGGAAGTGATTGCAGACTGATGTGCTGTATTAGAGATACTGGGTGCGTGACTATTTATGTGCTATGGGTGGCCCAAATTGAGTATTAAAAAACAAAATCAAGGATCCAAAGTTACAATTATGAAGAGTTACTTGTTAACAGTTACTAACAACTTTTTGAAATGATGCTATGATAAAATTGTTTAAAACTATTGCTGTTCTGGGAGCAAAAGAAGCAAAGTGGATATGAGCAGGAACAAGTAAAAGGATGAAAAACTTGAGAGTAGATCTGCAAACAAGAAGCTGTAGAGCAGAACATCTATAGTTGCTTTTCAAGCCATAGTTAACTCAGGAGTTAGTAGGGAAAGCAGTAGTCCAGAACACTCAGCCTGCATTCAGGCTTCTTTGAAGGAACACGTGCAGAAATGTCCACTGCAGCAGTGTGCTTTGTATTGACCTGTGACACTAAAGATAAATGAAGGAATGAAGCAGTGGTACTTCAGCTTTTTTGCTGCCAGAAGGCTTTGTGGAATTGTAACCGTTCCTCTGCAATCTCACTGGAATAAGGAAGACTTTGTATTTGCTCCTTGATATGGCCCATATGTTCAACATCAGCCAAACTCTGGCTAAAATGTGTTCAGATCAATAAAGTAGGTTCTCAAGACTCCTGGCATGACAACCCAAGCTCTGTATCTTAGGAATTAATGGCGTCATAAGTGGGCTCTGCTGACTGTTGTATCTAAAATACAGCGTGTGTAGTTTACCGTGTGATAAATCTAACCCAAGCTGATACATACCATCTCCTCAGACGGGTTTTAAATGGCTTTCTGTCCTACTAAGAAGACACAATTTCAATGCTTCTTTTTGTTAACTGGTGAGACAGTAGCCATGCTTTTCTTACTTAATGAGGTTTTGTCATATAGGTGACTGAAGTTTTAATCAGCCTGGTATCTGAATTGTCAAAATATAACATAAAATTGGTTGCAAAATACTGCATTTAACTGGGAAGCTCAGTTCTAATTTCTGTCAGTTGTTGAAAATACCAGGTCTAAACTGAAGAGGTTTTCTTGCTATTGACCACTTTTTCTGTCATAACGCTTGTAAGTTTGTGCTTATATGAACAACATATACGATACTCAAAATGCATCTCACCATGGGTAATAAAATTAAGTTCAATTTTATTCTAATGTCTAAATCTGACTTTTTGTAGAGAACTCTAGAAGAATGCTCTTTTGCTCTTCCCATGCGTTGATTTAGAAATACTGATCATAATCACCTTTTTTTCTCTCTGTTTGAAAGCAAAATGAAAAGATTTTGTTTTCTTGTTGTGCTGAGGAACATTTGTTTGCTTTAAACCTCTATCTTTTTAAAAAGAAAAATGCAAGCTGAATGTTCACAGCAGAAAGGTTGACCATATGTGTTAACTCCTGGTGTTGTTTCTTCCCTAGGGAGTGCTGTCCAACATCTCTTCCATCACTGACCTGGGTGGCTTTGATCCAGTTTGGCTCTTCCTAGTGGTAGGAGGAGTTATGTTCATTTTGGGATTTGCAGGATGCATTGGAGCTTTGCGAGAAAATACCTTTCTTCTCAAATTTGTGAGTAGCAACTGTGGCATTCAGTGGTTACATGGGGAAAGTCATGTTTGGTATTCCTGCTTAACCGTGTAAAGATAATAAAAGGCCTTTTGGGGAGCAGAAGGTGTTACTGATGTGAATACTGTTCTTTGAATCTCTTGATTTGCTTTATAGATCTCAATCTCTGCTGCTTACTATTGGTTTTTTGTTTTTGTTTTTTTTTTTTTTTTATGTTTAAAGCTGTTGATAGTAAGAATCATAACGTGGAACTACTGCTTTTCATATGGGTATAGTCTAACGTTTTGACTTGCGTCACTAAGAGCCTGAATTGAACTTAGAATCAATGATCAGCTTGCCTGTGTATTAGGAGGAATGTATAATAAGCTATTGAATGTGAACCATCTGATTTTTGCTGTACAAGTTTCCCTCATGGTACACAAGAGATAGAACTGCTAGGAAGGCATTGCTTGCTGTGATAAGACTCGGTTCTGTACCGTGTAGCTAAAAAGACCTTATTGCCATATGTAAATTAAAGATTCAGAATAAAATCAAGATATTTTCCTCTCCTGTCACACCTTCCAGAGTTGTGCTTAGCCAGGATACTATTTGTCTTTATAACCGTTAACTTTAGTATACGTTCAAAAAGGTTTCCAGTGGAAAAATCAGCCTTCAGTTCACTTATTTGGCTCTCACTGACACATTGTATTGCAGGAGGAAGTTGACAGTTACTGAGCTGTTTATGAAGCAGCTCAAGATATAGTTCTAGCTTACTCTCTTCTTACCTCTATTAAATTAAAAAAAAAAAAAAAACAAAAACAAACTTGTAAATTTTGGGTTTTTTCTCTTCTTTCTTTCTTTCTCTCCTCTAAAACGTACCCATCTGCTTTACCAGAAATAGCTTCCTATACAGCAGCTGACAGAAAAATTAAAAATGCATCTGAGCAAACACAGAGAGCATATTAAAGTGAGACTTAAAGGCACAGTTGCAAAAGAGATGGAATTCCAGTATACGAGGACCCCAGCGTGTGTTAAAACACTGTAGACTCAATGGAGATGCTTAGAGAAAGTGGCAGATAGTTGCTAATGCCTTTGGCATCCATTGCATTTGCATTAATCATCACAGCCTCGTTTGGTTTTAGTGTGGATATGAGTCATTCCATAGACATTCCTCTCTGACTCAGTCATTAATTAATTTCTGTTGTTAGAATTTTTGCCTTACCCACTTAAGCAAAGTTTTACCAATGAGGATGTCTGAAGAGAAGGTCACTTAGACAGCATTTAATTTGTCCTATTTGTTGTTCAGTACCTTTGAAAGTGGGGGTGCCTACACAGGAATTTTACAAGAGTTTTCAAAGAGCCTGGCAGTTGGCCAGGCAGTAATGTTGAAATTTAGAGTAAACAATTTGAGCTTCTTTGGAAATTCCAGTGAAATGTCCTGCTTTAGGTGCTTGTGTTCACTGACATTTTTATTGTTTGTTAGAATAAAATTGAGAGTATTGTACTTCAGCTCTAATGAAAAAAACCCCGAATTTTTAATTTTAATTTTTTTGTCTGTGTGAATAGGTTGAGTTTGCTCTGGAACAGACAAAGCTTTACCAGCACACATAATTGCGAGCCTTGAAAAATACATTTTTGGCAAAACAGTAAAATGATTTTAATGTTTTCCTTTTTCTTCATAGTTTTCTGTGTTTCTTGGAATTATTTTCTTCTTGGAACTCACTGCTGGTATTCTAGCATTTGTTTTCAAAGACTGGATCAAGGACCAGCTGTATTTCTTTATAAACAACAACATCAGAGCATACCGAGATGACATTGATTTGCAAAACCTCATAGACTTTACGCAGGAATATGTAAGTAGGACTATGTTTAATTTTTAATGCTTGATTTAATGAAATACCTTCTCTGTTTGTTAGTTCCTGTTTGGTTTCTTCAAGGATTAACAAAAATATACTAGAATGTAATTCTTGTAATATTCACAGACCTTCTGCAAACACACAGTACCTATGAAAAGTGGCTTATTTCTTGTTGTTTTATTCAGCAAAACAATTACAGTGGAGAGTTGGGGTGATTTATTCATGAAGGCTTTTAAAGATAAGTGTGTCAAATTGACTAGGTACCGTAAGAGTTTTGTGTTCAGATTATTGGAGCATATTTGTAAGTGTTTATAAAGATACTTTGGAGGGGTGGGGGGGTGAAGAGTGGGGATTGCTTTCAAAATATCTTATTGTAGGAACTGTCACTTCTGTTTAAAAACAAAAACAAAACCCTCAATTTTTTAAAGCTTGATGGAAACTTATTCTGTTATGAATTGAATGTTGGTGATGTTTTAGCAACATTAGAAGTGCTACGCCACTCTGCTGAGTGACAGAGATGTGGGGGCTTGTTGAGACTGCAATGTTCTATCTCAAAAAGATTCAATGTATGTAGCTTAATGAAGTGGGCAATTCCAAAAATACTTATAAATCTCTAAAAGACACTCCAGCAGCACCTGAAGGGACAGGAAGAGTGAAGTCAGATGCACGTGCTTGTGCAGATTCTAAGGTCAAATTTGCCAGTGTGTAAAGGAGTCTTGCACTGAATTTCACACAGAAGCCATTTTGCCAGTACATTCTTGCTCCAAGACTCTCTTCTGGTCTATGTTATGAACTTCACATTGAATTTGGCCCTGCATAGTTGCATCACTAAGTGTTCGTTGAAATCGTTATGTCTCTTCATTTTTACATATTCTGCAAATACAGTTATTCAGTGTTTGGTTTGCTTCTATATGCCTTGGGGTAAAATGTGAGTAACAGAATGTGGATCCTTGTGCTCATTTGAATCTTTTCCAGTTTGAAGAAGGCCAGAGATCTGAAAGCAGTGGGGCATATGTACATAACCAAAAGGCTATAATCCAGTTTTGGAGTAGACTGGCACTAGGTAACTGGATTAGCAATCTTGACAGTTAAGTCAGAGCAGCATGAGTCTGGCCAGCAAGTCACTTTTTCAGCTAGGAGAGATGAGGCTTGAAGACAGCCTATTTCTTTTAATGCAGATGGAACTGTATTTACATCCAGAGGGAGAGAATTGCCATTCCCAACACTTTAAAATGTGCTTAGTTTTATTTATTTATTTATTTATTATTAGTATGTTTTTAGTTGGCATAGATGGGTTCCTTGGGCTAGATTCTGGAGTGCTGTAAATAATCAGTGGTCCGCTGAAGTCTAGTCTGTTCTTTTCAGGTTTGGCATTTTTTTTTTACCAGAGACCAAGTGTAACATCTAGACTATTTACTTTCTGAAGGATTCTGGTTTCCTTCAGTTAAGGGTTACTGTGATGTGCAGTAAATGCTGAATTAATACTGACTAGTATACAGCCTAGCAAAGATTCCTTCAAACTGGCAAATGGAGTAGCTACACCAGTGCAGCACTTACTGCTCATCAGGTCTGTTAAGAGCTCATGGCACACTAGACGGGGCAGAATATCACACTTCATATGCTGTCCCTGGGGTGTGAGCTTCTAGAACTGTGCAACTCTGTGGCTTTAGGATGTCAGTTTGCTCTGTAATTTTCTTTCCAAAGAATAGCATTGCAGGGTGTGAACAGAACTGTAATCCCATGGTAATTTTAGAATAACTTAGTAGTTTGGAGTGGTCTTTAAAAATTAAATTATGTCCAATTAAATGAAGGAATCTTGGACTCTTTATGGAAAACTAAAAAGAAACCAGCAGTAATTATGCATGCTTTAATGCTGAGATTTGTTGATACTGAAAGACAAAAAGCTCTCTTTTCTGTGTTCTAGTGGCAGTGCTGCGGGGCTTTTGGAGCTGATGACTGGAACCTCAATATTTACTTCAATTGCACAGATTCCAATGCAAGTCGAGAGCGCTGTGGTGTGCCATTCTCTTGCTGCACTAAAGACCCTGCCGTAAGTCAGTCAAGAGAGTAAGAGGGGTCTGTTGTTCAATTTCAAATGATTGTATGAGATTTTTCTGGAAGTCATGCATGATCTTAACTTTTCTACCATTTTTAATTTTTTTTTTTTTTTTTTTTTTTTTAATTTGAAGCACAGCATAACTACTAAACTCTACCAGCAAAAATCCAGAACTAACTTAAGACTTCACTGTATGCTTTTCATGTTTGCTGTTTTTCATTAGAATGAGAGGAGCACAATTTCGGCTGAATGTACATGTTAATCTTTGCAAGTATAAAAAGCAGAAGTCCATAATGAGTTGAAGGATGTGAGCTTTTAATTGATTATCATCAGGATACTTCATTTGCTGCCTTAAAGAATAACTGTAAGATCAGACACTCTAAAGCAGGTATTGCTCATTATTTAATGGAGTGTCCAGAGGCTGTAGTCATATTGGCCTGGTTTGTGTTAGGTGTAGTAAGTGACAGCCTGTGTTTTGAAGAACTGGTGTATGTTTTTGTTACAGTCTTTAGACAGCCACAGAAATTTTTGTGCTCTTTGTCTTCTTTTAAAATTAGCTTGTCCTGCAGTTACCTAAGATCAAACTTGAAGGGTCAAACGTTGTTTGAAGGAGCAGCTCTTCTGATGCGTTTTCATGTCCTTTTAAATAGTTCTGGTACATCAAGCAGAAGATGCTGGGGCTATATATTAATAGTACAGACACGATCAAGAGTGTAGGGAAGCAGTTCACTGACGATGAGAAGCTTAGAATAAGGATGGGTTACATGGCTAACATCACTACTTCCAAACTCAAGATTGGTGCATGCCTTAGAGTAAGAGATCTAGGGAAGGTGGCAAGAGGTTTGTGTGGATGAGTAAGGAACTCATGGATAAAGTAAAAGGAAAGAAGAAGGTCCATGGGATGTGGGAAGAGGGCCTGTCCACCTGGGAAGAATGTAGGAATGTTGTCAGGTCCTGTTGGCATGTGATGTGGAAGGCTAAGGCCGTCTTGGAGTTAAACCTTGCAGAAGAGGAGGTAAAGGCTAACTAAAAATGTTTTTTAAGTGTGTCAACGGTAAAAGGAAGAGTAGGAAAATGTGGGTCCCCTACTAAATGAGGCAGATACCTTGGTAACAGTGGATGCTGAGAAGGTGGAGATTCTGAATGCCTTCTTTGCTACAGTCTTTAATAGTAGCCCTCAGAAATCTCAGGCTCTGGAGGTAAGAGAGAGAGAGTCTGGGGAAAGGAAGACTTCGTGGTGGTCTAGGAGGATCTGGTCAGAGAGCGTCTAGCTAAAATCAACTCACACGAATCCAGAGGGGATGCACCCTTGTGTGCTGAGGGAGCTGGCAAAGTTATTGCTGAACTTCTCTCAATCATCTTGAAAAGATCTTGGTGAATGTAGTGGCTGACACATCAGAAGGATGCACTGCCATTCAATGAGACCTGGACAGGCTGGAGAGTTAGGCAGGGGGGATCCTGATAAGGTTTAACAGGTACAAGTGTAGAGACTTGCACTTGAGGAGGAATAATCGTGCATATCAGTACAGGTTAGGGGATGACCTGCTGGAGAGGAGCTCTGCGAAGAAAGACCTGGGTGTTCTGGTGGACAACAGCTTTGCCATGAGCCAGCAGTGTGTATTTGTGGCCAAGAAGGCCAGTGCTGTCCTGGGGCGCATTAAAAGGAGCGTGGCCAGCAGGTCAAGGGAGGTGATCATCCCCATCTACTCTGCCCTGAGACCACGTTTAGAATACTGTGTCCAGTTCTGGGTTCCCCAGTTCAAAAAAGACAGGGACCTCCTAGCAGGAGTCCAGCGAAGGGCTGCAAAGACGATTAAGAGTCTAGAGCATTTTCTAGTGTAAGGAAAGGCTGAATAACCTGGATCTATGTAGCCTGGGGAAAAGAAGATGTATGTGTGGGTGGTAGTGGGGGGGAGGGGGAAATCTGATTAATGTTTATAAATATCTGAAGGGAGGTGGGAGGCAAATGAGTGCAGTTAGGCTCCTCTTGGTGATGCGTAGTGATAGGGCAAGGAGCAGTGGCCTAAAATGTGAACACAAAAAGTTCCATACTAACATGTGCTAGAATATCTTTATGGAATGAGTAATGGAGCACTGGAACAGGTTATCCAGAGAGGTTTTGGAGTCTCTTTCAGTAGAGATATTCAAGACCTGTCTGGGCACCTACCTCTGTGACCCATTTTAGGGTACCTGTTTTAGTAGGGGAGTTGGAGTTGATGATCTCTTGAGGTCCCTTCCAACCACTGCAATTCTGTGTAAATTATGTGCAACTCTGCATGTATTTGACTTTGTAGTTTAAAAGAAGCAGCCTGTGAGTGCTTGTATTATCTGGTAGGTCAGCTGTGGCTCAGGTGGTTATTTTCCACCTGGAATGACTTCTAGATCCTTGAATATCTGAGTCCATAGCACTAACTAAAATCAGGTGAGTTGCCAGCAGGCAGCTCAGGTGCTTCCTGCCTTGCTAATGCAAAGCAGTTACTCCTTTGGCATCTAGTTGCTTCAGCTGTTGTCCTCCGTAGCCCTCCATTTGCAGATGCTGCGTTCTGGTTCCTCTGCAGTTGAATGCATCTTCAAACTAGTTTGAATAATCCTTGTGAATATCTATGTGTCTTTTAACAAAGTATTGTAACAAAATGGAAAGCATATTAGGCTAAAGCCTTACTTTAAGCTCAGGATTTCCCCATAATGTTCACCAGTCTGCCTACCTACCCACACGTAGAGTGCATCACAACCCAGTTTTAAAAATACAGTTGTTATAAAACCAAACCAGTGACAGTGCTACCATGTAATCCTATAAATACATAATCTATGCTAAAATTTTCTGTCTGTGTATATAGTTATTCCTTTTTTTGGGGGGTGATGCAGTAACCAGAAACTTTAAGATAAGTCTCGTTCTTATTCCCTGTAGAGAAGTGACACACTTAATTGCCTTTAAAATAACAATTGCCTAATGCATGTAATGAATTTAACCAAGCTGTGACAGGTTAATTGTGTGCAATGATATATACAGATTTATTCCATGGGAAAGCAAATTTGTGACTTTTGGAATTTGAGTGCTGTGTTGGACTGATGCAGAAAGTTATGTGCATGCTTTCTTCAACAGGATTTGCTTGTGGTGTAGCATTTAGTTTAGCTTAAATCAGAAAACGATAAGTCTAAGCTAAGCCAAAGCAAATCTCCTTTGAAACAAATTTAGATTCCTTTACTTCACTTTGTACAACATTTCAACTTGTTAAACTACGTTTTTCTACAGGCAAGGCCTAGAAAAGTTGGTATATTTCCATTTCATTCTTCATGCTTTCTTTCAGTTATCAGATCCTGAACTTAAAGACAGAAGGCATTGGTAATAAAGCAAGTAGATACTCAGCATGAGAAAGAAAGCTTAAAAACCCTCTCTTGAAATCTTATCTGCTTGTGAATTGCTTGGCTCTCTGATATGCTAGGAACAGGAGCATTCATCTCAATAAAAAAAATAAAGATTGCTCAAATCCTAAAGGTCCAATGAGGGAATTCAGTTTGGGCAACTGACAGGACTGATACCTGTTGATGTACTTCCTGAAGAGGTGGAGGAGTTTAAGTGCTAAGAAGGACATTTCTTCTGTATGGCTGTTATTTAAAATCTATCTTTGCTGATCTGTCTTTCCCACAATTTGATTAAATTGTGATGTTCAGTACACCTAGCTAATACTGGCTGATATTTCTGACTTCCTTGAGCAGCTCATTCTGCTCACTGTTATTATATGAGCCAGTAACTTAATATTTTGCTGTTGTTGCAGCAAAGTAGTTGCTTCACTTTATTGCCCTGAAATACCTGCAGTCAGCATCAGCTTCCACTGGGTAGCACCTGTTCAGTAAGAAAACTCTGTCATAGCCTGCTGAAGGTGCTTGAGGAGTTCTGAAGCACAGTCAGTAGGATGAAAACTCCTCCTTTGGTATCAAGATCCCATAAGAAAGAATGGGCACTAGTAAACATTATCCATTTCTCCTTTTTCCTCTGTTACTTTGGAAAGGAACTAGGTACCTATATATATTTCTACATGCATCCTGTAAGAGCTTAGTTTCTGCAAATGGAACCGCTCCTTGTTACCTCTTCATGACTGAGCCCTGAAAAGTTTTAACTGTATTTTTTGTAAACAGACAAAACTTTTTGAGTGGAAAGTTCTTTTGCTTCAAGCAGATGCATCTTAATCCTTTTGCTTTGATTGCATATGGAATGTGGGAAATGATTTTCCCACTGCGCTCCTTTGAAAGCTGAAAGTATTCTTCACCTTGTGTTTTTGTTTGTTGCTAATAATTGACAGCACTGAGTGGAAGAGAGAAGAAGAATCTTTTAAAAAGTAGTAAGAAGACCAAAACTGAGGTGATTGTATTACTACATACAGGACCAGCTCTGGGGAACTGTGACAGGATGCTTTGAAGACATTTCTTTTCACTCATTTGCCTCCTGTTTGTCTCTCTTTCCTAGGAAGATGTTATTAATACTCAGTGTGGCTATGATGCAAGGCAAAAACCAGTAAGCATTTTTTTTTTCTTCTTCTAATGTGTTCTAAGAATCTGAATCCCTCTGGCAAAAACAGGTTATTTTACTGATGGGATAATTGAATGTAACAACCTCTTTTTTCTTCTTCTCTGGCAGGAAGTTGATCAGCAGATTGTTATCTACACAAAAGGCTGTGTCCCTCAATTTGAGAAATGGTTGCAGGACAATCTTACCATAGTTGCTGGTATATTCATCGGGATAGCATTACTGCAGGTAAGTGCAGCGTTCCTTGTAATGAGTTACATAGAAGAATAGCAGAGAAATTAAACATGCAGGTGCTGGGTAGGGACTGAATATGAGAATTGGAAATACAAGTTTCACCTAGAAATATAAGGTCTGTAGAATTTAGTGAGGTGTGCAAAATGCTTGAGGCTTTTTTGTGTGTGCTAAGAGGTGCTTAATTTTTGTCAGTAAAGATTTTCCTTTGTCAGTAAAGATTGGCTAGAGATTTTTAAGCCCGTTCAGATCTACAGTTTCTGATGGTGTTTAAATGAGCAATGGAATGCCTTTACAGTTGCATTTGTGAAGCAAATACAGAACAATTCAATTTCCTGGAACCCAGCAATGCTATAAAAAGATGAGGGTTACAGGAGTCTTTCAGTACTTCTGCCAACACTTACTGTTAACTTAATGGCTTTCTGTTGCTTGTTTTCCTAACAAAGTTTTGTATAACTGAAGGAGTTTACCTGTGTGAAAAGAGTTTTCCAATGCTCCAAATAAATAAACTGTTGTCTCTTCCAGATATTTGGGATTTGCTTAGCCCAGAATTTGGTTAGTGACATTGAGGCTGTCAGAGCCAGCTGGTAAAACTGCTGAAGTAACCACAACAAGACACTGGACAACCGAAACCCTCTGAAACCTCCAGTGTGTCTCACCGACACCAAGCTGTATGGACATGGGTGACAGGGAAGCCTTCTCTCCCACATAGTCTCAAGTTTAAGTTCCTGATATTGCAGTGAACTCATATTTCTTTGGGGTGGGGGTTAGAAGAGTGGGCTCTTTAAAATCTGCTGCTCACTGACAATTTTTTTCTTTTTTTTTTTTTTCTTTAAACCACCATTTTGAAAGCTGTTGAGCCGTGAATCTCTACTGTATTCTTGATCCTGAGTAACAAGTGGACACTTTTTAAAAATTGGTGTATTCAGTGGGACAGAGTTGCATTATTGTTATCTGTGGATATACTGTTTATTCTTCATGCCATGAGCTCTTAGTAGCTGCCAAGTATTCCTGAGATGGTCGCTCACCTCACCACGCTAAAGGAACAGTCTTCTTATTTTCACAGATAAACGTAGCTGCAGGCTTTCTATGCATCTATTGTACAGTAAATGAAATTGTTTTTAAGACAAGGGAATGTTATCTTTTTCTTTTTTTTTTTTTTTTACACAAGGTTCCAGCCATCTCCCTGTAGTATTTTCAAGTTGGAATGAGCAAGCTCACAGGGAGAACTGCCTAATTTTATCAACATCTTTCTTCCTTTCTCTATCCTTGTATGAAGGGGAAGGAGTTTTATATTTGTCAAACAAGGGTTGTAGAGCCTTTAGTTGCTGCCATACCTTAGGACATCAGCCTCTTAAGGCAAGAATGAGATATAACTGTATAAATGTATGAAAGCAGTGTGGATATTGGGTCCAAGTGAATATTATTATTCAAAGAATGAATTATATATTAACTTAAAAAAAAAAAAAGAAAAAGAAAGCATCTGACATGGCTAAATCTTTTGTTTCTCTGGAATTTAGTGTAACCTAATATATTTAGGGATCTCACTAATATTATGCTTTGATATACTTGTACAAAACTTCTTTTAAGATAATTTCTAGTTCTGTTCCTTTCTGAGGCTTTGTTCTTAATTTTTTTTTCCTTCAATTCTTTTCACTTGCATGAGCTGTGGAGTAAGAATCTGTGACACTCCAGTGCTTTAAATCTGTGCGTATGTTTTAATACAGTCTAATTCAAACTTATTTATTGGTAAATGCATGTGATTAAGGGAAGATCATATTCCATTTCTTTGCAACTTGGAGAAAACAGCTTTTACCAGAATAAATACTTTCAATGGACAAATCCTTGCTATGAAGATAAGTCTCCCTTTGTTGCGTAAAATGCAACAACAACAAAATAATCTTGAAGCAATGGAATAAAAGTTCTGAAATAGAAATGTGTATTAGGATCAGCCAAGGCACATACTCTTGAAATGGACAAAATTTGAAATCAAGCTCAGATCAGACTCCATCCACCTTAAAGTTTGATTTGTTGTTCTTGAAAAATAATAATGAATTTATAAACCTGACCATGACTTGGATAGTTCCATTGTACTTTGTACAAATTACTCTCCTTTTATGACCTTCTCCAGTATCTGCAGAATAAGCTCTGAAAGCTATGAGCTCTTTGCTCCTGCTTTGGTAAAACAGTGATAAAAACTTGTGTAGCATCTCTTTGCAAGAGATGATTTTTCAGAGGAGTACATGGAGTAGAAGAGGTTAATGCATTGTTTCCTAAGTGTCCCTGCTGTGGTGGATGGATAGGAAGCTGCTCTGGTGGCCTATTAAGGTCTTTACTGGTTCCAGGACTCTTAAACATATGATTATATGTACCCTTGCATATTTTTACCTTTCTGTGCTTTAGTCAACTGTGTTTCTCCCCCCTCTAAAACTGGTGTTGGGCACACTGATGATCCACAGATGCTACAGAAAGTCCTTTGGTCCTTCTGTCTTTCAGTATTACCTCATTCTCTTCTGGTTAACTCCCACTGACTGTCTCTGAATCAGGCAGCCTCCATATCCTTTGGTATCTGCTGTGAAAGGCCAGCCATGACTCAGAGTTATTATTATTATTTTTTTTTTAAAGCCTTTGCAAGCAATTATAATTCACTGTCCTTAATAAAGTTGGTTCCACCTCACCACAGTGTTATGTTTTTCTTAGTCACTCCTCATCTTGAGGAGTTACTGGTGTTTGTTTCCCACAAAGGGACACACCATTTTGCTTGATAGCAGCAGGACAGATAGATCACCAGCACCTCTGATGCTGCACTGATGAAATGGTATGGGGAGAAATCAAAGAAGTCTGGTTCAGGAAATAACTCCTTCATTCAAGAGCCTTGATATATGACCCAGCACTTTGCTTTGAAGAAAAAGAAGTCTCTATTACAGAAACATTCCTTATTGCCACTGATCTTGAATGGTACTTCTGCTGCTATGGGCTTCTGAAGACAACTTCCATTCTTCTACTTGAATTTCTGCAGTTTTTCTGTATTGGCCTTTTGCCTTGTTGTGCTGCTTTCTGAGCTCCGGTCTGCTGAATGTGCACTGGCAGTGTAAGACTGATAGGAAGGTAAATGATCTGAGGTGAGCAAGTCTTTTTCTCAGTATTTGCACATGTGCTCACAAATGTTCAACATATCTTGTGAGTCCCAGAGTTACTTTTCTTATTAAAAAAACCCCACTAAATTTATTTTTCCAGGCCTTGTATTTTTTGCTGCAGATGCTAGTTCCATCCCCTGCCCCTCAACTCCCTGTAACTTTTCTCGTTTTTGCAGTTATTTGATGGATGAACACTGAATGTTCAGGATTGCCTGCCTGTATTGCACATTTAAATCCCACATTTCTGTCCACAGATTGGATTAGATGTCCTAGAAATGCCCCAGCTATTGGCAGCTTAGGTGTCCAATTTGGAAGGCTTGTGGGAAGCCTTGGAGGTCAATCTGTTATGGTCAGAGCCTGCCAAAATCAATCAAGCTTTCTTCCAGGAAACCTTACAGAAACTTCAGGTGAGCACAACTAGAGCACAACTGCCAGTTACATGGGCTCATTTTCCAAAGCAATAAGATATGGTAGGCAGTACAACCTTTTGGCAATCTCTAGCTTGCCTGTTGGGCTAGTGGATAAGGTGAATTCAGAAGTCACTGTAACTTTCCTTAATCTGCAGTAGTTGCTCAGAAATTTGTTGTCACGTTTGTGGCCCCTTGTGAAGCATGAGACTGCTGTTTGCTGCGCACGTGCTATGTAATGGGAATGTTGCTGCTTAGACGTCTGCTTGTACTTTAGTGATGGCCCTGATTTTAAAGCCATTTCTGAATTCTCCACTGAGCCCTAGCAAAGGGTTCCACAATTCTTGCTCCTCCGCTCCCTAAATTCTCTCTCTCCATATTCACAAGCTTTTTTTAAAGCCTTTTTTTTTTTTTTTGATACCTAATGAACAAATGTTTGGTTTGTCTTTGTTTGTTTTGGCCGAGAGTAGATATCTTTGTTTCAAAATCCGTAATTTTGATTGTACCCCTTAGAGTTTGAAGCAGTGGAGATGTTGCTCAAGTGAGCTCTGTTCTGAAAGCTGTCTCTCCCTTTATGAGAGAGGCTAATTGTGGTTCTGGTGTGTAAATAGTGTTTGAAATGTAAATAGTAGCATGCAGATTAAATGGTTCTTGCACATGATTGCTTTTCACTCTCAAAGTGTTTATACTGACAAGCAAGATATCCACCGTGCAACTTTGCTGGCCGAACCTGAGCACAGCAAGTGGCCATTTTCGCTTTAGTTCGCCTTGCCGGTGAGGCAGAAGCTCTTTAGTCGCCTGCCACCTAGTGTCTTCGGGCCCAATTGCAGCAAGCGCTCGGAGAAGGGAAAGCACTGTTAGTATCAGGACCTGCCTTGCATTTTTCCTTTGCTACTTGGTATTAGGAGAATAATATTAGGTTGTAAACTGGAGTATCAGAGTCAGTGGCCACTACCTGTTTTGGGAGGTAAGTATCACTTGCGGCAGGACTAAGCGTGGTGCTATTTGAATTGCTGTGGTCTTGGATGTTAATCTGCATTTTTACTTCATTAGAGATGCCCTTGACAAAATTGGTCACAATTGAACAATGTTGGTCACAAGAGAAACTCTCATGTGTATTCTTAATTCCATTTCCTTTCTTGTTGTATGTGTGCCATTTGGGTGCATTGTAGTGGTTGTTCTGCAAATGATTAGGGGGGAGTTTAGATCTCAACAGATATCAAGAACTGGTGAAGGTTCCAGTTTCTCTCTTCCAGTTTTGTTTTCTCTCTGAAGCTTTTTGAGGTGCCTGTATTTGATAGCAAAACTGTATAATGCAAACTAAACAATCTACTTTGTTAGATCTGCTGTGTACCAAACTTTGCCACTTGAAGAAAAGAAAGATCTTCTTCCCCTAATGTGCAGCAACATCGTGACTGCTAGCGTGCACCATGTGGGAGTTCAGCCATGCCAGGCTACTAGCTGTCTATTGTGTTTCAGCAATACAAAGTTGTTGACGAGAAGCTCCATCTGTATGTGTGTTCATGTTCATGCTGTGTACTCAGTAGAGATGGACTTGATGCTGCCTTGGTCTCTGGTGAGGATGGGATTTGAGTTTTGTGGCTCAGATCCATCTGTGATAAGTGTGTTCCAGATCAATTTGAACTGAATCTCTGCGCTTGGTTCATCCGATGGCACAAGGAAAGTGTTGATATTTACCCTTTATGTATCACTCCTTTTTATACGAATGTATTCTCTTGTGTTCCTTTTTTTATCAGATGTAAAATTGATTGTAAAAGCCAACTACATTTACTGATTGAAAGTATTGGTATAACAGAACTGCATGCCCAGTAGAGTTTGACTTGAGCTTTAGTTATCTGATTTCAGACTGGTTATCCTCGGTCTGGGAGAAAAGCATAGATCAGGTGCATATGTATTACTTGTCATCTTTAGCATTAGACTGTGGTGTTGTATCACATGCTGATCTCAATGGATGTAACTGGAGTATACTTAGGAAGTTAATGCAACTTCCTGGTAATTCATTTTAAGCTATTGAAAGTGGTCTTGGTCATGCTACTTGTGTTCTTGAGTTTTTGTTTTTTAATAGACTCATTTTTTAGTTTTTAATACACTTATGATGGACAACACAATAGTTTTAATAGTTGTGCAGTACTCTGTATTTACTTGAAGTAAATCATTTTATATGCAATTTGTTAGATAATTACAATTTTATAAATAAAATTGCGTGAAATATGGTGTTGTGACTGTGTACTCTTGGTGTAGCACACAATGCTGAAGATACAAATTTCAGGCAAAAACTCCTCTGGGAAAAGCCATCCTGTTCTCTCCCCCAGACTAGCAGGGGAAATAAAACCCTGGGTCTCACTTGCAAATAGAATTTACATTTTGAGGTAGTTGTGAAACATGCTGTGTGTTGCCAGTATCTGCCCTTAAATAAGTAATAAGCTAATACTTCAACAACACATCCTCAAGAGATGAAAACTCACATCGAGTGTCAGCTGTTACTGAAATCCATCTAACAAATGTGCTCTGTTTGTTTCTGACAGGTCACTGGTGTTCCTCACGCTGCTGTGGCTGCTGGTCAGTACAGCTGTTGGAGCTCCTACCATAGCCATTTTAGTGACCGTGAAGTGTTCAGAAGTTGTATCTCTGCAGGGAGCAGCACGAAGGGGTATAGCATTTTGTCATGCATTAAGCTTTTGTAAAGGAAAGTGGGAAATTAATTGTTCTAAGTGTAATATCTCAAATAGAAATAGTGAGAGCTGGCTTATTGAATTGTGCAGGTAAAAATGTGTGATGATGTCTTGTACTTGTTTACACAGAGAAAAAAACTTAGTATTTCAAAAGCTATAGGGAAAGCAAATCCACTTCAATGTATCTGAAATACAGTGTTTCATCAACCTGCATTGTTTTGCAGTAATAAACAAGCATAGTAGATTTGAGGCACTTTGGAAAACAGATTGAGAAAACCTCTTGGAAAGACTTTCCAAATGTTCTTGGGAGGTCAGTACCCTGATTCATTTCCCCCTACAGTAGTTATCACCACTGTTCTGACAGTGGAAAATCTTGCCTTCATCTTAGCCTTTACCTGGCTTGATCAGGATTCTGCATTGAGTACAAAGATGTAGCTCTGTTCTGGCTGAAGGGGCTCCATGAGAGGCATTTCTCATAAATTTCACCAAGAAATAAAGTTTCTGAACATCTATGGGCCAGTGAGCTGTTTGTCATCTGTCACTGATCTAGTGCAATCAGTGAGTTGGAATGAACTGGGCCAAGTGATGATCATTTCTCTTGAGACAGCTTCTGGCTGTGATAGGTTACACGCTGCCCAAGTGCACATGCTTCTTTCTAGTCCTATTGCAGGCAAAGAGATGGGAACAGCATAGTGCAGCATAAATCTGGTCTTATTTTGTACTGTGTTTGTTCTTAGATCTTGTTTCTCTAATGAAGAGAGACTGAGAGGATAAATGATTTGCCAACTGCATAGAAATATCCTGCAGGCTGACACATGCCTCAGATCAGTGCAGCGTTTTTGTGAACAGATAATCTCTTCAGTTGCCTTCTTCTGCCATGATATAAAACCATCTTCACTTCCACTTGTGTAGGCTTAGCATGGATTTTATCTAGAAGTGTAAGTCACTTCATATTCTGTCCTAGGAAACCATCTGAAAATTAAAGGGTATCACTGTTGGCCTTTATGCTTGCTGTGCCAATAGCATCTCTAATTAAAATTCAGTAATAGGAAATGTTTGATATTTTAACTTGAAGTCCGATTAGACACGTAGGTGAATGGGAGTTGTCACCCCTTTGTTATGCCCTGCTTATGTGAGAACTTGTGGTTTATACCATTGTATAAAGGAATAAAGAATCTAGAACTGGGTATGTCATTGCTAAATGGCCTTTCTAATGTATTTTGGAATCTATTGGAATTAATGGAAATTCTTTCCATGCCTGAGAAAACTTGGGCTCATATGGGCCTGCTGTGAGCTGTGATGTAAACATGCAGGCTGCATTTACCAGTGTACAGGTTCTGCATTATTCACAGCCTCTTATCATGGGATTATAATCTATGTTCACAACAATATGTTCTGGAGGTGGCTTTATTGCTACTAATACTAATATTGCTACTATAC